TTGAGATCAGGAAACATGTTCCCTGGTAGTTTCTGTAGGCTCTGTCTCACTGTTTTATTGTTGCTGTCAGATACTCTCTCTGTTCTGGCCCGCACCATTGGCAAAGATGTCTTCAGTCCTCTTGCTGCTGAGTGTGTTCAACTGGGCCTCAACCTCACCGATACCATTGATGACCCTGACCTAAGACGCTGCACGTATGTTACAATTCTTTATTGAATAAAGCAAACATTCAAGAATTCAACGTTGTGATTGAAAACACATTTTTAACTAGTCTTCATTTCATTCCCTGCTAAAAGATCTCTCCCTGCTGTCAGAGCTTTATTATTGTGTTGTTGTGGTCTTCATAAATAGTAGTACAGAAAAGCTCCAGCTTACGTGTTGGTTGTCCTTCACCTCTCTGTCGCTCCATCTTTCAGGTACAGCCTCTATTCTGCTGTATCAATAGTCACCCCTGATTGCCTGACTCCTCACCTCACTGCCATAACAACTGTAATGCTGTATGCCCTGAAGTCCAGTGAAGGCGTCACGGTAGAAACTATTATTGTAGCACTTGTGTTTGAAATATTCTCAATTAAAACAAATGTTTCAATTTCCCACTTCCTATTTTGTTGTTTTCAGGCACATCTTGAGGAGGACAAGACCTTTGTTCTGCTGGACGATGATGACGATGAAAATGAGGAAAAAGAGGTTTTTTTGGAAGATGACAAAGGGACAGATATCCATGATGTGGCTGGGTAAGGCTCACATACATGCACACACACGTAGTTCATGTTCATCCAAATACTCACACTGAAAACCCAATGTGCCCATGTCTTAGGTTCAGTGTGGAGAATGCCTACATTGATGAAAAGGAGGATGCCTGCGAGGCACTAGGAGAGATTGCCTTCAATGCTGGGTAAAACTTTGTAACTTCTTTTTTTTCTTTTTTCTTTTTTAAACCTTCAGTGATGGGAATTTTACAGAGATTAACATACATGGATCAATGTAATTAAAAAACTAGGAAGTGTTCTAAAACTTGTGCCCCATGCGAGACATTTTAGATGTGAACATGTGTGTAATTTTTGCTCTTGTTGCTGTGGTTTCCTCTGACAGTGTTGCCTTCCAGCCCTTCCTGGAGTCCAGCTTCCAGCAGGTTTATGAGATGAGAGATGTAAGTGGCTCCGGTTGGCTGGTTGACCAAATATTCCTCTCGTTTAATGTGCTGTGAAGGGCACTTTGTGGTCTGTAATTGTGCATCTAGTTATAAATGACCGTCTATAGATTAACTGTTAATGTTGATTTGAGTCCTGCCTTATATTGTTATCTTTGGTCAGTTTTAAAAGCTATTTTCACAGATATAAAAATGTTTTACTATTTCCCTTGATAAGCTTTAACAAAGGTGAGGCAGCTAAAACAATCTTCTAACAGTATATAGACTACTGCTAAATACATCATAAGAGACTGTAAGTTGTGGCTAATAAACATTAAAGACCCTTTCCTTAAAAAAACAAAACACATTTATGCTTTGGCAAGGTGATCAAATGTTTTCCTGCTAGCTGTTGTGCCTATATCATTTTATTAGTACCTTACTTTTTCAGAAGGTATGTTGATACTGCTGTGGCAAAAATATCTTAGTTTAACACACTTGTGCTTTTGTGATATAGAAGTGATATGGTGGTTCATTGGTCTTTTCATAACAAGAGGTTTGTGACCTTAACCCCTACTAGAGGCCTTTTTTTGGTGTTTCCTTTAACTTCAATGACCTGCTGCTGACCAAGGCAATAATGGATAGCAGGAATAATTTACTAATTGGCCTCAAGGACGGGCATTACAGTATCCCTTTTTTTAGGGGTCAATCCTTGTTTTTTCTGCCATAATGCCAGGGTCCCTCATACTTTATCTTCCTTTAACTTCAGGAGGGTCATACTTGCATTGAACCTGTCACATCTGTTAGCCCCACCCAGTAAGCTGTAGTATTCTCTCTTACTTTTCTCCCCAGTTTCCCCATGAGGATGTTCGCAGGGCAGCGTTTGGAGCCATGGGGCAGTTTTGCCGAGCTCAGCACAAAGTGTGGAAGGAGAATCCCACTGAGGCCAACCACCAGGGTAATACAGGGCACCAGCATGCTGAATTAGGCAGTAGTATTGTCTGCTCTAGATTCAGTAACAAAACCAAGGCGGATCAGACAAGTTTCTAAACAGAGATAGAAAGTTGTATATAGATTTTATATCCTGGAAAATTATATCCAGTTTCAACTTAGAAATGTGTATAACAGGAATCAGCGCCGTTGCTTTTCATACATTTTAACTTTCTTCTTCGATGTTTCTGCACATCTTTTGTCCCACACTCAGCCCTGTTGAAGTTGTTGGATATAGTGGTTCCCTGCTTTTTGGAAACGGTGCGAAGGGAGCCCGAGCGTCATGTTGTGATGGGTGTCTTGGAAAGCATGAATAGTGTCATCAAGTCCTGCAAAGAGGAGGTTTTCAAAAACCCTTCCCGCCTGAAGGAGATCAGCCATGCCATCCGTGATGTGCTCAAGAAAAAGGTGAGGGTGTGGGTGATGGATGGGTTTATTTGCTAAAACTCATTTGTCACAGATTGTTTTGCTTAGAATGAATTGTGCTTTAAAAGCCTTTCACTTTTTTTTTTCCTTTTGTTTTCTCTGCCTTCTCAGACCCCGTGTCAGGACAGCGGTGGTGATGAAGCTGATGATGAAGACCAACAGGTGCTGCAAATCAAACAGTAAACTGGATCAACACAATGCTGAATTTTTGCTGTGAAAATATCTGTCCTGATCCAAGAGCTTTAGTGTTTTCTGTGGCCCACTTTTAAATACAATGCAGTCAAAAGTAACAATATGAGTCTGTGAAGTTTTTATCTCTTTTTTCCCCTCCTATTTTCTTTGTCCAATGTTTGCTTTCCGTTTTGATTATTTCTGTTGATGTGCTGTGTGTTTCAGGCAGAGTATGATGCCATGCTCCAGGAGTTTGCAGGGGAGGGAATCCCCTTAGTGGCCGCCTCCGTTCCTGCAGACAACTTTTTCCCTTTCCTCAATGACCTGTTGCCTTTCATCATGAACAAAGCTGTGAGTCCGAATGCACTGACACATTTAGGCGTGTGACAGGAGTACTTTATACCCCAGAACCTTTTTCTTTTTTCAGATAGCAGTTTATTACAAAGCAAGTAACAGAACTAGTACCATGTGTTATCCCCTGCCATCCATAGATGTTACAGATCTCAACTTATAAATAAATAAGAAAAAATATTTAAAAGAGAACATAAATAAAGTCACACAGTCATTTAATGAAGACTTCCAAAAATTCAATTTTATAGGTTTAAAATATTTGACCCAAATATCCCAAAGTTTAAGATCAATAAAGAAAGAAAACCTTTCCATAGTGTAAATATCACTTAATATATCTGTGTCAAGAGATTTATTCTAAAAGACACTTCTTCAGCTGAGTCTGAAAGGTAGAAACACACAGATGCTGTAGTTTTTACTTGCAAGGGCGGTTACAGAGCGCTCACACGAGAGTGGGGGCCCTGTGATCAGCGCTCTGTTCTTGCACTTGTCTTTATTTATACACAAGAAAAGTAATACAAAAATGAATACATTTGTTCAGTGGAATGTTGATACGTGAGCATGTGCGTATGTGATTGTGTGTGTGTGTGTGTGTGTGTGTTGGAATGTGGGAAGCAGCCCTTTTTCCTGGTAAGAGCTCAGAACTGCTTGTTCAGCTTCTTACTATCGCTGTGGGAAGATTCAGATAAAAATATCAGAACAAGTTTTATAAAGAACAATCAGTTCTAAGTAATAAAAAGGTCATCATGCAGTATTCTATCACATGTAAACGTATATCATTAAAAGCTTATACTGACTACTAAGTACAATTTTCCATTAACAATCTGTCACTCTTGAACTGATTGATTTTGCTAAACACAGAGAAATGTTTTTAATCTGGTTTGAAATCCTTTGGGAAGAGTCACCCTAATAAATCCTATTTATTTACTGAATTTCATAGAAATCCTCGTGCACGGTGGCAGACCGGTCCTTCTCTGTGGGCACCATTGCAGAAATCCTCCATGCTCTCATGAGCGTGTCTGGGGGGCGGGGAGCGGCAGGCCGCCTGTCCAATCGCTTGCTTCCTGTACTGGTAGCTGGAGCGAAGGACAGTGACCCTGAGGTTCGGAACAACAGCGTGTTTGGACTGGGATGCCTGGCTCAGGCAGCTGGACCCATTGTTGTATCGTATCCTTCTTAACTGTGTGTGCTTCTGTTTGGAATAATTGTTGTGTTTGGCAGTACACATTTTATTGTTTTTTCAAGCTAAATTAAATCCATTGCAGTCCTTAGCAAAGTCTGTCTCAGAGACTATCCCATGATGCTGTCTGTGTTTTCCAACCTGCTGTCCAAGGAATCGGACCTCAGGGTAATTGATAACCTGTGTGCTGCCCTCTGCAGGATGATCATGAGCAATGTGGATGCCGTCCCTCTGGAACAGGTTTGTTATATTAAATATTTCAGCTAATGGTTCTCGCCTCTTCAGCTAAACTTAACTACAACATATTTTCACAAGCAGGAAGCTGACTGCAACAGTGCTGCAAAAATGTTTTCAGAATTTCAAGCAAATGACTCTTTGCTCACTGACAGGTGTTGCCAGCTTTGGTGGCTCGTCTCCCGCTCAAAGAGGACCAAGAAGAGAACAATACAGTGTTCAGCTGCCTGGCTATGCTCTACACACACAGCCCTGCTCTGGTACAGTCAAAACCACATTTACATCTGTTTACATTTCCAATGTAGAGGATGAGTTTAGATCACTGTGGTCCGTTGTCAATTGTGGAAATTGGATGTTGCACAGGAAATTGTTTCCTTACATTTATTTTGTGTTGAAAGAAGTCTTTGATCCACATTGATTATTAAAGAGCAGCTGTTCACATGTTTAGAAAGATGCTTTGTAAGGAAAACTTCTGATCAATCATCTCTTTTATTAAATGTTAAATCATTTATTCTTACAATCCAACACATGCAGAATCTTTGACATGCAACAAATCTTGAATCTCTTCACATTGTGCATTTTGTCCCTAAATGTAAAAAAAATATTTGAATTAGACTTTTTTTTCTTAAGTTTATTTATTTTATTTTTTTTATTTCTTTCAGGTCGTGAATTTAATGAAACCCATAGTTGCTGCTTCCAGTCATGTCCTAGGCAACAAGGATGTTGATAAAGGTGAAGATTTCTGCAGAATAGCAGATTGCATGTAAAAATTCCCTCGAATGAACCCTCGTGACTCAGAGCTTCACATCTGATGTTTCTTAGCATCCTGCACAGTACTCTCATCAGTATTTCGTTCTTTTGTAGTGATCTGTCTCCAGTGTTGACCTCTAACTCTGTTTGTTTCTCCTCCACAGAAAGCCAGAACATTTCAGTAGCACTCATGCAAAAGTTTGCCCAGAACCACAGTGCTGAGTTCCAAGCAGCTGTGACCTCACTTCCTGCAGAGCAGAGGGATAGTCTCAGCGCAGCCATCACTGCCTCATAGCCCACACACATAGATACACCCTCCCACTCAACAACCAGAAAAAATATACTGTATGTGGAAAATGGGACAGTTGTGTGTCATGTTTCAGCTGAATGATCTAAGTGCAGCACTTCAGCCATTCTTCAAAAGTTATTATTACATTCAGCAGCTCTTCTTTTTATTTATTTGCTAACATGCATGCCGTGTTTACATTTTCTTATGTTAGGAGTTCTGGTTCTATTTTGATTTCCTGCTTTACTATAAAACAATTTAACCTGTGGAGAAACATGTGTGTTCTTGCTCCTTTGAACTGCCTTATTCAGAGATTTCTTAATGTTTGTACACATGCTGAGTTATTAGTTTTGAAAACAGTTACTTTACCTTTAGTACTCTGCTGATGCTCAGAAATACAACCTGTGACCTTATAGAGCCCAAAAACCTATCACAAAACACAAATTAACAAGGACAGAAGCTTTTTACAAATGCTTCAGCAATGTAATTCTAACAAGTTATGCAATGTCAGTTCAGACGTATTTATCACTAAATAAAACCAGTCTTGTCATAATAAGCTTTGCTGTGGACTGTTGGAGCATTCATGTTAAAACTTTCTTACAAAAAAAGGTAATCAGATGTTAAGTTTGTTCAATTTCAGTTGTACTCATTGTGTTGCTCCTCAGATCTCCCGTTGTCCCTGAGCCTGAGTAAAGCCCGGCAGCTTATTTTCAGTGTCCAGCGCCATAGTCATCTGCACGGGTGTCAGTCCATTTTCCCCTGATGCAAACACAGAAGCACACAGAAGAATCTTTGTGAGCCCATGTGGCATTTTAACTGGAAAACTCATGTCTGAGACATAAATTCCACATATCATCAGAGGCTCTGAGGGCTTTTAATTCTGCATTTAATTCTGCTCCTACAAGAGTAAATGAATAATTGTCATTTTGAAAAGTGGACCTGATTCCTGACAGCGCTGAGAAGTCAGGTTTTATGTGGACGCTGACGTAATGTTTGGTACGAATTTTTTGTCATTGCCTCAGGCTGTGGCACACCACTGTGATCCACATGAGTCTGACAAGTCACCCGTTATCTGAGAGGTCGCTGCGCACTGCAGGGAGAGTGGCTTTTTTGGGGGGCATGGCAATGCAGATATTGGCTAACAGTGACACAGCAAAGAAAAAGCAGAATCAAGAAACCCCGAGCCAACTTGAACGGCAGCAGGAGTGAGATTATGAGCCTCACATATCAAAAGTGTGAGATTTAAACTGCTTCCAGACCTGCACACGTCTGTTTCCAGGGCAGGATATCCATTCCAGTGCGGCAGAAGGAACGGTCAGTGTGGGCCTCGGTGCTGTACAGGACCTCCTGGAGCTGTTTGTCTCCTGGCTTCTGGGCTTTCACGCGTACCTGAAGGACAGAACAGGAAAAGTTGCTCTCATTCTCACCTGATTTCCACAGACTGCCATCACACCACATCCCTGCAGTTGAATCTCACAGCCGTACCTCTAGGATAGTGATCTCTTTCTCCTTCAGCTTCCCTGCTTTGTTTTTCACCTGGGTCTTCTTGGTGTCAACCCAAACCACCCTCTCCTTCACCTCTGACCTGAATATACACACATTAATAAATATTCCTTAGATTGCTTCTTTCAAAACAAAACAAAAACACTTCCTCACTCGGAGTGAGACTCACTCTTGGATGCCCAGATCAGCAAGTGTGGTGTCCAGGAAAGGGAAGGGTTGGTTTGCTGGGTCGGCCTGCACCTCGATGGGCAGTGTCACCGACATGGGGATATCCCGCTCCACTATGACGCGCAACATTTTGTTGTGGGACCCCGGGAGCTTCCTTTCTGCCGGTCGGTTAGCCTGCTCCACAGTCGCCGCCTCCTCCAGAGAGCGTTTTGTGTCGTCTGCTGCCAGCTTGACTTGCTGATCTGTATTTCAGGAGGCAGTGGGTTTTTACCCTCTGCCCCTTTGATCCTGTGCGTTATCTTTTAAAACTTGCTATCTGCACCTTTTGGCTCCAGCGCGTCTTTATTGTTAGAGTTGTTGCTTGCTGTGTTCTTCTGCGGGGTGCTGATGATTCAGTGCTCTGCTTCTTCTGATGGTAAACGCCTCTGGAAAGCCTGAATATGTGAGCGCGTCTGATTCATACAGAGTTCTGCTCTGCCCCCCGGGCTGATATATGCAGCCAGTGTGAATGTGTGTTATGTGTCACTCAGATGTTAGGTTCATTAGACTGTCACAAGGGTGATGGACGGATGGTGGTGTTTTTAGGGCCAGGTGTATGAGCAGGCCAGCTTCTGCTTTTAAATCAGGTAGAACGCGACCTCATCTTTGTGCAGTGCGTTACACATTTAATCTTTTTAACTGATTGGTGATTTCAGGCTAAATTAGTGAACTCTGTGACAAGAAAGGAAGTGAAAACGCTACAAGGTCACTTCAAGTTCAATGTCAACAACACATTCATGACTGCTTAATGAGATAATCCATCCACCATATCTAGTTCTCCACTTATCATCGTCAGGCTTCCCCGTGTGCCCTCTGTCTCATTTCTCTGAGAGCTGAGGTGAGACAGCAGTCTTTCACATCACAGCGTCACATTTTCCGCTGTAAAGAAAAAAATGCATTCCAACTTTCAAAGTTTCAATCCTGCTGCTTTAGGACACAAACACAGGACGTGTAGCATCACACCGGGCACACTGTGCGCTGTCCTGTACACTTATCTTCAGCTTTTCACATTCCTTTGGTAACACAGATTGCAGCTTTTTATTGTGTACATACAAACTTTCGTCCCTGCAGTTCCTTTGATGCTGCAGGGACGTTAGACAGGGAATCTCCACTGTTAATGGCCACAGTGACAAACTATCAAAACTAATGTTGAGCAAACTATTGCACCATAAATGTTTTTGTACACAGTGGAAAACGTAGCAGTCAGCTGGCTATTCTTGTACCAAACATTATGTACAACGGACACTTCTTGGCACGATGTCACCACCTGAATGCATATCAACAAAATTCCCATTCCAGTGTGCTGATGTGAATGAGGATTTCTGCCCTGACCTCAGCTCGGGCTTCTTGGCCTCATCGAGGTATTTGACAAGCAAGCGCTCATATCGCTATTGAGCCATGAGGTCACAGAGGAGTCTTTCTGCCAGCGAGGCACCATCTGGTCCCGTCACAGGCAGGAGATAAAGCCTCTGTAACATTTCACATTTCATTAATTTCTATATGCAGCATGTTTCTACAGCATGTGCAGAATCTGAAAGAGAGAGACTGATGTGTAGGCTTTTTGTAAGAGGCTCAGTCATCGTATGACAATGAAGAGAAGTCCAGTCCTTTGAGATGCAAAGAATAAGTAACATTTTATTAAAGATTTTAGTCTTTAAAGAGCTAAAATTTAACACAGCAAATACAAACTGTATAAAAGTGGAGTTAATTTTTATCCTTTTTAATATTTTTAACAGAGAAAATAAAAATATAAAACAAAAGAAAAAAGCTATAATAATACAACACTCAGTCCAAACTGCAACACTCTATGTTTAAACACCTGAAAATATAACCATATAAGCAATAAATCTGAACCACATGAGTAGGATAACATTTTTAAAAATATCCTTAAAAATACTGAATTTCCAAGCATAAAAACATGAAACGCTGATCGTTTTTTTGTTGTTGTTGTTTTTTAAAAAGGGTCATGTTTAATTAAAAGTAATTCATATAATAATCTTCATATGCTATTAATTAAAAACTGGATTTAACAATGTGTTCAGATGAGCTGAATCTCTACTAGGTTTTAGCTGGATGCTGTAGGTGTGTTCAGGCAGCCATCGTCAGCTTAGCAGAGCTTATGGTGATGCTGCTGTAGGGCTCAGTCTGATGTACGGTCACCTGTCCAGCAGACAGGAGCTCTGTTGGAAGGAAGCGTCACAGAATAGGGCCATTAAACATGTTACAGAGACCGCACTCTGTGACAGCCTTTGTTACTGTACAATGCAGGGAAGTTTGTGAAAGGTCAGCTTTAATGACACATCAATCCACCTCATTCTTCAAAGCTCTAAAAATCAATAAAATCCATTTTTGTCTTTCCCATACCCAGCAGTTTGTAGAATGTGTCAGTTGCAGTGGAGCGATTGGCCTCAGGGGGCAGCAGAGAGTCAAAGATGACTTCACCAAACCTCTGCAGGCTGAAGGTGATCCAGCTGGAAAAAAAAGGTGGTTTTTTTTGTTTTGTTTTTTTTTTAATATGTAGAGGAAGTACAGATTACGTTTTTTTTAAACAATGATTTCATTTATTAAGAAAACCAAGTTACCCAAACCTTCCATGTCCTGTGTGAAAATGTGAGAAATCCCTTAAATCAACACGTCTAACAAGGTAAAGTAGGCTAAAAGCACATCATGCCACAATCTAAAGAAAGAGCTAAGAAAAAAGTCACTGGCATCAGTCAGTCTGGAAAAGGTTACAAAGCGAGTTCTAAAGTCTGGGAACTCCAGTGATCCAAAGTGAGAGTCATTATCCACACATGGAGAAAAACTGTAGGGAATCATCCCAGGAGTGGCCAGTCTACAAAAGTTACTTCAAGAGCGCAGCAATGATTCATCCAGGAGGTCGCAAAAGTGACAAGGCCTCATTTGTCTCTGTTAAGGTCAGAGTTCATGATTCAATGATAAGAAAGAGACTGGGCAAAAATGGCACCCATGGGAGAGTTCAAGGAGAAAACCACTGCTGAGCAAACAGAACACAAAGGCTCAACTCACATCTGTTAAAAAGCATCTTGATGTTCCCAGAGACGTTTGGGAAAACACTCCAATAAAACAATTCTGAAAAGAAGAGTGGGCCAAAATTCCTCGACAGTGATGTGAATGACTCACTATCAGTTATCAATCATGTCTGATTGTAGTTCTTGCTGCCAAGGGTGGTGCAGCCAGTTGTTAATCTTAGGTGGTTATTTCATTTTTACACAAGGGACATGTAGTTTTGGATAAATAAAATCATAATTTCACCAAACTGCATTTTGTATTTACTTGGGTTGTATTTGTCTGATATTAAAATCTGAAATGTGACAATTTACAAAAACTGAAATCATGAAGGGAGCAAATACTTTTTCACAGTATTTGACATTTAAACAAAATCAGTCAGGGATACGTGTCAGACTCATCCCTCAGGTCTGCTGCTTCCTTTCTGTTTAGAATTTCAAAGCAAATGTCCACCAACTTAGAAAGCAGGTCAACCTGTTATGCTGGAGGCAAAAAGTGTATATGCAATTATACATGTTACCGGACATGAATATAATTATAGATGCACTGTGATCAACAGTTTCACTGTCTGACGCATGAACTGAATAAAAATTAGAGTTTTCCAAGACATAAACCAGATCAAACCAACAGGGAGACTCCCAGTGTGTAGATGACAGCTCAGTGCAACATCCCTGAAAACACTGAAGACAAGTGTGCATTAAAAGACGAGTGACCCCAACACTGTCACATAAGCAAGGATGTGAAAATGTCTCAGATGCTGTTTGTTGGCACACACTGGATAAAGATTATGAGTGTTGTTAAGCATTGTTTTGGCCTGCGTTAGAAAAGGAAAGTCACTGTGTTTCTCTTCATGCAATTCAACCAACACAGCTGGAACTCTGAATAAATAGACTAGTTGTCCTAGTTTTCAAACTGTAGCCATTAATGGTTCACCTTTAAAAGTCTGCCACAGCCTACCTTCAAATACAAAGAGCAGAGTAGCATGTCGTGCCACAAAAACTAATCACCTTGGGGTGATTCTGGCAACAGAGCAGAGTGTGGACTCTTCAGATCTCAACATGAGTGGATATTAGGAGGCTGGGCAGCATTAACAAAGAGCCTGCACTCAGGAGCCAGAAAGGATTAAAAAGTAAAGAAAGATCCTTCAGCATCCTGTATTATCACAGTGACTCTTACATGTTTACCTATGTTGCAACACATGCGTCAAACTCCTTCAGTCGGGGCTGTGTGGGCACACCTCCATGCTAAAGGTGCCACTACACCCTCTGCAGTGGTCGCTTTGCTCGTCTTTATTCCCACTGTTAAGGTGCTAGAAGCCACTGCGGTATTCTCCTTAACAGTTGCAACATCTCCCCCTGTGTGTTCGTGTGTCTCTGAGCTACTGTGCAGAACTATTGTTAAAATAATCATAAAAACGGGCACGATCGTACACTCGGGTCTTGCACGACCGGCCGATGTGTCACTAAGATCATGTCTCACGACACAGGATGAGATGTAAAAATCATCCCACGACACCCGCCACACAAGCGTCACAGAGTGGGACAAAGCAAGCAGAGGTGGACAATTTCAAAAGATGTTCGCTGTTTTACAAAGAGTACAGAGAGGCCTGCGCATGTAATCAGCAAGAGACGATCTCTGTTTTCAGGGAATATCATTTCTATTGATATACTGAATATATGAGAAAGAAACCCTCGGAGCTGATAAGAGGCAAGCAGTGTCAGGTAGACCATTTAGATGAGGACTTCCAGATAAACTGCAAACTTAATTTACAATTCAAAACCTTTCCTTGTGCCAACTTTCATATGAGCTGCCTGGCTAAAGCTATATATGTAAACCATCTGATCAGAGGCGTTTTTTCCCTTATATTTCCCACACAGCCACTGACATGTTAAGACTTACAAATAAGCACTTTGTTCCCACTTTGCTTTTACATAAGGACTGATGTTGTTTAATCGAATTCGTGCTACGAGCAACTGTCACACTCAGGCTGATGAGCAGGTTGTTAGGAGTTGGCGGTGTGGGCGCCATAATGAGAACATATAGTTCAGGATTCATGTGGACCAGATTGTAAGGACAGGCACGTCAATAACATCTATAGGTCTGGTCCACAATGTAACTCTCATTTCAAACAGTGGGCATCAGTGAGACTGAGTTTCACACAGCTGCAAATGTCTTTCATGCATTTCTTGGAGTTACAAAGTATGTTTGTGTGTCAGTGTGAGTGTGTTTGTGCGTGTTTGCTAGCTTATGTTTAGAGTGTTTCTTGCAGCACAAAGCACCTCAGCATGTCCCTGCTGTCTGCGTAACTCTGAGCCTCGGGCATCTCAATCCTTTCTTCTGCTATGGGCTCCATTGGTTGTTGGACTTCCTCCTGCAG